TTACTATCATACTAAAGATAAATTCACTTTAAAGCCAACACTTAAAACATTTTAAACAAAAAAAGGTACCAGTACCTACACACAGACAATAACAAATACAAGAATACTGTACTGCCAAGAGGTTTGACTGAAACTCCTTTTGAAAGCTTCTGCAAATATGTTAAGAAAACATTGGAGAACATTCACTTTTTTCAAAGAGCCTTCCCTCCCTGTCTAACCTAGAGGTACTTTATCATCAAAAGGCAAGTTCTACATCAAAAGTTACCAGCAGCAGTACAATATTAAAGTAACCACTGACCATATATGAATATGCTTAAGTCACAAACCCATTTTATACACATTACACAAATAAACATAAAGTGAGAATTCCATTAAGTCATTTACAAATGTGAACAAATGCACATGGCAAAAAAACCCCAAAACAAAACAAAAACCCAACCTGTTTTACATAAAATGTACTGAAGAATTAAAGGCTATTCAGGTTTTCAATGTTATAAAATTCTTCTGTCTTTTTTTTTTTTTTTTTTTTCAGGCACATATTGTATTTTTTGTCTGCAGTCATGAGCCTGAATCAGAGGCCCATAAAACAAAACAAAACAAAAACAAAAACACATATTCTGTAAGGAGGTAACAGGGATCCATCTCCTTTTAGTCAACTGAGTGCACTTAAGATTTAATTTACACACTAAAACTAATTACATGATCTCAGCAAGAATGACCTGAAAAGTTAAAAGATGAAGATGTCCAAAGTGTTGTACTTCGACTTACCCAGCCTCAATCTTTTTTTAGGGGGCTAAACATCTCGTTATGAAAGATAAGAGGGGGAAAAGAGATCATCCTGAGAAAAGTACAAAAGTGGGCTCTGTTACACACACCTGCTGTGTGACCGGGTGTGTGTATCAGTATGGGTCAAGTAAAGGGTAGGCTGAAGGTTTCTCAGTATGACTGGTTGAGTGATCCAGGAAAACTGTGAGGGGAACTGCTTCAGAAGGCAAGTATGCCCTAGGACTTGCAGTGGAAAAATAAATAGATACGGATTAGTACGTCAAATGTTGTATCTGCCTTGAACTGGCCAGTTACTTACATTCAACATTAATGTACACCCTTCATTATTTCAAATAGCCTATACCGTGGAGGATTTAACGGAAGAAGCTACTGCCAAACTTAATGAGCTGTAGCTGCTGTAGAAAGGGAAAGCGAGAAAGAGGCATTATATCTGCAATTCCTTCAAAATAGTGGTGCAGTACCTAAATAAAATCGTTTTGGAATTCAAGTAAGTAAACCTACATTTGTTAGTAGTAATTTTTAACAGCCCCAAATGGTACCGTTATGCTTATTTTAATATTTTAATGAGACAGAAGTATAGTTTATCACAAATATTGACTAGTACAGCTGAAACGTTTGGTAATAACTGAAAATATATGCTCTACTTGTGGGGCGAAAGTGTCTTTGCCCTACCTCAGTCTCATCGAGTTCAACAGGATTACTTGTCTTATAGAGGTAAGTGAGATTTAGACCTTGAAGGAATAACAAAAATAATATTTTAGAGACAGGGAACTTGAATTATCACAATATTTACCACACAGTGTCACGATATTTCTATATATAAAAAGTTAATCTTAGTTTTCATCAAATACTTTAAAAATCAAGTTAAAATTGTATTCACAACTATATAATCCCTCTGACAGCTTTTGGTTTTGCTGATATTTGTTCTTCCTAACATCATTTTCTTAAAATCTTGCTCCTCTTCCCATCAATTTTAGTTGTAGTGTACAGTATGGCCCCCGTTCACAGAAGGTATCAAATACAGACACATTACTAAGAGGAGCTAATATTTTTTTTTTTTTTCCAAGACATCATCTGGGAGAAAACCAAACCAAAACAACCCTGTGTTTTGAATCGTGCTGGCCAGAGTTTCTCTAACAGCACCTTCATCCACAACGCTCACACTCAACATTTCAGTGCTTAAAAACACACACTTGCATTTACGCTAGCTATTTGTTGTTCTCCGTTTTCATCTGGTTTTATGCATCTGACTTTCAGCATGCACAACTTTGTAAACAAAATCTTCTGTCTAAATAAAAAAATCTTCACAGATACCAAAATATTATTAGAGGAGAACAATAAAGTCACATTTGTCCACTGTCTGAAATTCTGTAGTATGTGGATCTCTCATTATGCAGATGCACGACAGGGTGAAGAGAATAAAAACGTGAATAATTTTCATTTTTGTTTCACAGACGAATCAGTTGCTGGTTTGCAATGCTGTCAGAAATGGCAAACAGTAGATTATTCTTCAGCAGGTTGATCATTAGCAAAATTACTTTGCTATAAATGGTGCTCTTTTGTGAATGGAGGCCTGTAGATTCAACTTATTCCAATAAACCAAAGGCATTACGGTGATAACTAAATATTTTTGGTCTCTCTACAAATTGTCATTATTATGGCAGCACTTTTCTAAGCTGGAATTTCAAACCAAAGGCACTTTCATGCTAGAGTGCAGAAGAGTCACAATTAATTATTTGGTCATGAAATTTAAAAAGGCAGCATTTATTAATACAATTCACTCTTCACGGAGAACTAAGAATCTGTAACCTTTCCTTTTGGTATAGACATTTAACTGCGTAGTAATGGGACTGACTTGTACAGAAGGTCGGTTTAGACCAAGCAGTCAAAAAGCATTTCTGTGGGAGAAAATACAGATTTTTTTTTAAAATGGAACCAATTACTAAAACAATATATAAAATTTATGTTAAGAGGCTAAAGGTACTTCTAATATAATGCTAAGGCACTGCATATTGTAATGCTTTGGCAGCTCTCAATTAAAAGGTTCCTACAAAAAAGTAACAGTAACAAGATAAGTACTTCCAGCTTACAAAAGAGCTCACAGTTTACAGGCAGCCTGTTGGACTACACACCCCACACTGAACAGTTGAAGGATTAAGGCTTTTCAGAATTAACATATACAGGGTATGGATCATTTACAGAAGTGTAAAGAAAAGACGATGGAAGTAGTTTCCCTAATATTACATATGTGAACACCAATAAACATCGTGACTTTTTATACCCTATAGTTACGTCATATGTAGTGTGCCAGATTCTATTAAAAAACCTGTACCTGGTTTTGCAAATTGACTTACATACTTTATATGCCTCAAAGAGTTTGCTTGTTATTAAAAAAAAAAAAAAAAAATCACCAAACCCACAATTCAAACCCTAAATAAAAGACAACTTTAAAACAAAATAAAACAAAAAAGTAGTTTTTGACTTGTAACACCAAGTGCTTAGAATAAAGGGCTACCGTTAGGCTGTTACAATGCAGTGCTTTTCCTGATGGACTGTTAGTGTTAAACATGAGTGTTAAAAGAGACCTTACCATGGACATGTTTCTCTGTTCAGTTCACGGAGTATAAACTGAAAGATCATCAGCCCTAATATCCACGAGCAGGTAACAGCTAGACATCACAGCAATTGTCCACCTACTAGAGTTAGATCAGAGGCAGGCTAAGGAATTTAAGCAGTCGCCCTTCCCCTCGGTGATGTTTGTGTCGTCCTCTAGCCTGAGTCCTCACCGGTGTTAAGTATGAACGTGGTCTGACGCAGACATACACCAACCCGCTACCTCGTCGAAGCTGTATTCTAGTCTAGATAACTCAACAATGGGCAAGTCTAACAGAGGGTACTATGCAGAAAGATAATATGTATATATTAAAAAAAAAAAGACCGGCTTTTTTTGAAGACTACAGCACTGTCCTGGGGAGTAAATGCTAGACTTAAATTGTGCAGGGGCGCATATTGGTAAAGGGCAGGGAGGAGGGGCCTGCTAAATGTTAACGTCTTTGATTCAGGACTGCAAAAGACCTTCCCAAGAACACTCTCTGCTGATACCTCATGACTGATCTTTAAGGTGGCTTGTGCTTGGCTGGGCAGCCCTCAGCCTTTCAGACAAATGTTTTGTGTGAGAACCCGCTGCTGGCCCAGCACCTGCTGAAACAACTGCTGCTTGGGCAGCCGAGGGGCAGCGCCGGCTGTGCAGCAGCAGCAAAGAAACTGAGCAACACTCTCTGGTGTAGCCAGGAGGCACGAGACTACCTCTCTCCCATGTGCGTACCTCAGACACTCACTCACGCCCACATCCATGGTTTAAATCCTTACAGTATTAAAATATCTCCAGCTGTACTTCACTTCCTGGAGTCTTCCCTGAATGTATCAGAAGGATGAATGCTACCACATCCGGATGCAAAAGGACATCAGACCCCACGTGGTACGAATGTGTTTGTTTCAGATAAGGTCTTCCCCAGTCGGGACTGGAGAGACAACTGCGAGAGGTGTAAAAGCACCATAAGGAGGAAAAGGAGAAAAAAAAATCTCCGCTTTCCGATCTTCTTTGCCTGATGTTGGTTGTGATTTTCTAGCATCTCACAGATATTAAAGCTGTTGATCCTTTCAGAGGCGTACGTATTCTTCTTCCAAACACATTAGTATTTTGCTTTCAGTTTACAAATTACTCAATGCTGTTGCAAGGTCAGTTGTTTCCGTTCATCTGTTAATTTCAGAGTTGCAAGTTTTTCACTCGACTTATTAGAAAACATAGTTGTCCATATAAAATATAACTGCACACACAAGACTACATATAATGTGAGTCTAAATCTTCAGTATTTACCTACTTATTGCAAAATGAGCCATCTTTTTCATTAAATAATCAAATTTTCATATTAGTACAATACAACTTTATACTCTTTTAAAATACACTAGATATGTTAGGGATAAGGGATGATGTTTTCTTTCTCTGCAATACCTGTTTGAAAGTTTAATGGATTAGAAGATTAGTTTTAGCGTTGCAAAAAAAATACAAAATTTGCCTAATTTTAGGACCTGTCTGTTTCTATCAGGTATTTCTTAAGGCTACATTTTTCATTTGGTTTCAAACAGAAAAACGTTTCATTTTAAAAAATAATTTAGTGAATTACATTCGTCCGTATCTTCCACCCTAATTAGTTACAAAGATAATTCTATAAAGATTATTAACTTTGTGTACTCATTTACAGTTATAGCTAAAGATTCATTTCAATTTCACTTGCATTGTAAAACAAGTATTTCATGTTGGAAAAAAACCCAAAATAAATTCTTATAAATGCTGTCAGTTTTTCCCCATGGCAAATGCTCTGTCATACATTTTTCTATCAGAATTAAAAATAGGCCTCCACAGACAGAGGCATTAGGTTCTTAAATACAGTATTCCCAAAGAACTGTGGTTTACAAATTTGAAGAACACTTAGTTTTAGAAATAATTTTTACAACTGTACCAGAATTTCACAGCTACAATTATATATGAACACATTAAAAATGACTTCACTAAAACAGGATTTAGAAAAATGTGGGTGAAAGTTGGGCCAGAGGCACTGCCACTTAGTGTTGAGGTTTACAGTCTGTGTTTTGATAAAGAAGTGAAATGAAGTGTATATATAAATAACTGCTCAGTCCTTTACAAGCCTGTAGATATGATGCTGTGCTCCATGTTCGCTGTTCGACACTTCAAATACACAAGCCATGCAGAGCAGGGTTTCTTGTGTATCCCTGTTTGTTACAACCTGTTTGAGGGGAAGGAAGAGGTAGACAGTTTATTACAAACTTGGAAACACCAGGGCTAAAACAAGAAGTGGCTGACTGAAAGACAACCTTTAGATGTGACCGGTTGAAATGCGTGTCCTCGTGCTCTCTCTTCGGCACTTTAAACTGACCTCTGGCTGCGCTCCCGGGATGTGCTCTGGGGCTGAGCTGCAGGGCTGTGGCTTGCAGTGGAGGGCACTGAGATTCATCCCACCCTGGCTGCTCGACCATGAGGGGCCCCCATGTCGTCTTGGCTGAGCCTTCCTCATCCCAAGCCCCACTTCAGCACAGGGAAACCAGCGCACCCTTGTCACCTTGTGTTTGCTTGCCAAAAGGCAGCCGAGCGGGGTGCACGTGACTCTGTGCTCATGGCCCTACCTCTTCCCCATGCTGCCAGCCCTGGGTCCTGCCCAAATCCTACAGCAGCAGCAGCAGCAGCAGCACATGGCTCTAAGTGCTTGGCTGAGGTGCCACCGCAAAGCCACAGTGAAAGCAAGCTGGGAAACTGGCTGAAACTGGCTTAAAGGCCACTGTGTGGACCAGTCTGGATGCTTTAGCTCACCTGTTGGGTGTACCCATTACTGCATGCTTTCCTGGCCCAAGAACTAACTAACGCCACTGACGTTTGCAGTATTATAACTGGCATCTCAGTAAGAACACATTAGATGAATGGGATGGTTCAAAGTTACTGCCTCAGGCTCACTACAAACACCAAACGGAGACTTGCATGAAAAAAAAGAGAGAAGTAAGCTGAACTTCTGGAAAGTAACACAGATGTTTGTTCATGTTCTCAGCCAGCATAGCCTTTTCATCCTTAGCGTCTATAGTGCACAATTCCAAGAGTATTACTCTGAAGTCAATGGGATGATGTGTTTAGTAAGCAACATGACTAAGGGATTCGGAAACTGGTTCTAAATATTACAAGTTAAGCAAGCCATGCAAAGCCTGAGAGTATTTTAGAAATGGAAGAATAAAAAGTGAGTCCGTACCAATAAAATTGTAAAATTTTCCAACACGCTGTTCATCATGTATTTCTCTGGTAAATGCTTCAGCTTGTGTATGAAGTTGATCATATATTCACACATTGGAGAGCGATTTATTCTGTACACAAATCGGCCATTCTCAAACCTTGCATATTCAGTCTAAAAAAAAAACCCCAGAGAGAGCGCTTAGAATAAGATAATTCAGAAATAGCAAAAAAGTGAATACTAAATCTGGTTTTTCCTTTCTTTGTGTAGACAGAGAAAAGACAAAGTGGCCAGAGACACACACACCTACTTGCTAACTCCCTGCCTGAGCTATGCAGTGCTTTGCTAAAAATTCAAGGGCCCTTAATCATTAAAAGTTATAATATCACTACTTGTTCTCTAGCCTGTGAATTAAAAAACTGAACAGATGATTACACAAAGGTAAGTCCATGTCAAGTCAAAATTAATTAAGCAGAAAACTTTGTGGTAAGATGATTTTACAGTAGTTTCAAGGTGACTGTCTGCAAAGGGAACAGCAAAAATAAACTTATAGATTTATGCATAAAATCTACACATATAAACATAGCTATATTATTGCATGATTTAATAGGCAATTTATGAATTACAGAAAGATGCAGGACTACAGTCGGAAGATGACCAGACTGATTTAGAGCTCGGGGGCTGACATGGGGCTGAAGGACAGTAAGGCTGTGACACTTGCACTCCTGCTGCCCAGCTGCCAATTGCTCAGATGAGCTACTCAGTGGCTTGTGGGGTTTTTTGGCTTTCTCTGAGCTTGGAATAATGGAAATGATGGAAAACTTTTTTATGGTTGCCATGCACAGAAAACATATTACTATAAGAAGGACATGAACAGTGACCAGGAGATCTATAAAGGCTCAACCTGTAGCTCTAGGCTAAAATCCCCATACAAAAACAGATGTGGGTGTGGGGCTGAGTACGCAGAAGACAAGTTAAATAGCTGCAGTACCATTGTACAATAAACCAACTAGCTACCCGATCACTCAAGATGGTTCTGTGCCCAGAAAAGAAAAGGTTAAAAAAAAATAAAGGCCCTTGCATCTTAAGAAAATACGCAACTTTGTATTCAAAAAGCTGCTGGTGACTAGAAAAGCATGCCTTTCTGTGCATAAAATAAGATAAAATAAGCATGGGTATAGATGAAACATAGCACACCATCCATGGCTTTAAAATGTTTACAGAAATCTAGATGACAGAGGGTAGCTCATCACTGTAGTATGGTTCCAACCAGGCTACATGGCTGGCCAAGTGTTTGGAAATGGGAGGAAAAGTGGGTTTGCTTCAGCTGTTTCCTGCCAGGCAATGGAGGAGGTGGCACTGATGTCAGCTGCAGGTTCGCCACTGAAGGGTGCCACAGGCAGGACGGAGGAGGGTCTCTAAAGCAACAAGTAACCAGGATTTTACTTAACTGTAGTGTCACCACTTACACGGTGCTTTAAAATGAACCCGAGCACTGCTGGAAAGGAAAATACTCTTTCAGGAACGATTAGAGGAAGGAAGGAAAAGACAGATAACAGCAAAGTAAAGATAAGAGAGAGAAAAGCCTAATTACTAAATTAAGTTAAATGAAAGGGAACCAGAGAATCATCCCACACTTCCCATCACAACACCCACCTCTACTTTTTCTACTACTTGCTTTCCAAATGAGCAGACTTTGGTGGAACAGGTGATTGTCATGTTTTCTGAGCTCTCGTACTGACTAGTGACTCCGTAAAATGCTCCTGTATCATCTTGAATATTGCAATTTAAGTCAGCCTGTTGGGAAAAAGGAATAGATGTTGAAAATTTCATTTTTCATTTGACAATGTCAGTAGCATAAGCTGTAATTAGCTCACCGTTCTTTTCAGAAATAAGGGAGAGAGGGGGGAGTTTTACAGTGACAACAGTGACAGTGGAAAAAGTCTGTCAGGAAAGTACCTGCCTAACTGTTGCAGTAAAAACCTTAGGGAAACGGCAATTTCTTCAAACTTTAAACAACAAAAGACAAACCAGGATTTCCCTGGGCTACAGGTGACATTCTCGTCTGGCAGATAGCTGATGAAGTCCCTGGAGCAAAAGGAACGATCACCCGTGAGGAGCCTGGCTCCAGAGCTGACTCCTCTGGAGGGAGCCTGCCCTGCGGCCTCAAATTCAACCGAGCCATCCCACTCCCGAGAGGCCATAGTTCACTTTCTCCTTTTCCTTTTTTAAAGCAACGAAATCCTCACGGCAAAGGGAGACAGCTGCGTAACATGGGAATCGATCTCTGATAAGACTCTGTCAAGCCATATGGTCCTGATTCAGCAAAATACTTGACTTCACAGAGCTGTATGACGCAACTCACAGGCTTCACATGAGCTGTGTGTGCACTGAGCCGTGCCTACTGCACCACTAAAATACTACTGAAAGTATTTGATTCCTTTCAGTACTTCTCTGCAGCCTGAGTAACGATCTAGCTGCCTTTGATATGTAGCAACAGAGATTGAGACTTGCAGGTTCAAGTGAGGAACAGTGCTACGTTTAATTATTTATATCCAAATCCAAGTCCTGTGCACAGCGTGATTAATTTGGCTACAAAGCAACAGCACAGGTCACATGCTGAATCCAGCCTCCCCAGGCCTGCAGCAGCACTGAAGCTGTTCTGCCACTGTGCTCTTTGTCATCACAAATCCATTTTCAAAAGCCCTCAACTTAAAAAGGCACTAATATGGGTATAGGCAGAGTCTGGGGGATCAACAGCTGGATTTGTTGGTTCAGGCATTAGCTCTGCTGACATCTTTGGTGCCCAAGGAGAGAGTGGGCAGGGTGTTCTTTTTATGTGGAAATAGCTGATCAGCTACTGCAGCGTAACATCTAGGAATGGTCTGAATTTTTAACTTACTCTGAGACAAGCATTTTAGCAAGGAAATGCACTGTTGCAGCTCTTCCACTTGCAAGTCTAGTGCTGCTTGTTTTTATTGCTAATATAGAAACGTAATAGAAAAATTTCAACAGATACTTTCATGTCTACCTTGAGATGTTTTAAAAACCTAGTTTACAGGTATGTTTATTTACTAGTTAGTGTGGAACATTTATAATCCTGCCTTCACTATAGTTCAGGTCATTCGTAACTGCTATTTAATTTTTAACTAGGCAACAACTCATTAATTCTACTTAGTGTCTACAGTCCTTATTCGTGGTACAACATTCTGAGGCAATATGCTGATAATAGCACATACTGAGCTAGTTTGCGGTACGGAGAAGACATAGGTCTAAGATTACTTCAGGCTGGCTTTGGTAAATTAATCAGTGGCGAAGTCTCTTGAGGTTTACACACAGTAACACAAACAGCCCTATAGTCACGTATTTTGCATAACAGAAAGAAATCCTATCGCTGTTACACCTTGTTTCTTGCACATGTTTTGCATGAGGTCAGCAGTTAATGTTTAATGTACATCTAAACCTGTGTGTTCACAGTGAGCTGTAAGAAATTGTTCTAAGCTACTAGTAAATAAGCAATTTGCCCTCACAGCTGGCTTGCAATCGAAACATGACAAAACATCTAAACATGACAAACTGTAGCGGCCATCAGCCACGCCACAGCTGCTCCACCAGAATTTCTGAAGAATAGGGATTTCTGTTAAAACAATTGCATTGTTGTTGTTGTTGCTAATAATAATAACAGCAGCAACAACAACAATAATAGTAGTAATCTCTTAAAAAGTGGTTATTCCTGC